GGAAACTTTGCCGTGGTGAAGGAGTGTGTGGAGAGGTAAGGATAAAAACCTGCAGGGGCCGTTTCTCTTAGAGAATATTTCACTTTCTTTCTATTAATTTGTGTTTTTTCTAATAAATTTACCACTTTAACCTCAGAGAATATTTTGGTTTTGAACTGTATGTTTTTACTGACGCCCTAATTATTGATGGACGACCGTTCAAGCTTCTGTTGTGCTGCTGATTGACAGGTCGACGGGACAAGAGTACGCCCTGAAGATCATCGACAAAGCTCGCTGCTGTGGGAAGGTAACACTGGTTTATTTACATCCTGTAGCGTCCTCGATGATAATTACCGTGACGATAACGAGATGTTGATTTCTACGTCTGTCACACTCTTCAAATCAAAGAATCAGACCGTCGGCAGATAAATCTACAGGTTGTGAGTTGATGAACAGGACAGAGAGAAAACAACATCATCTCACCGCATGAACCGTTTAGCAGCTGCTCTGGGGCTTTCAATCATACAACATGATCTTCCTCAGCAGCTGTCTTCAGATTGTAGATGTTAAAATATCTTATTTTGTAGAAGCTTGCAGAGTTTCCCGCACTCTCTCTCTCTCCCTCTGTGATGTTCACTCAGTGTTTGGAGAAATTAAATTGCGATGGCGTGTTTCATCATCGTGACGAAATCCTCACACACTGAAACCGTGTGTGTGTGTGTGTGTGTGTGTGTGTGTGTGTGTGTGTGTAGGAGCATCTGATAGAGAACGAGGTGGCGGTGCTGCGGAGGGTTCGGCATCCGAGCATCATCCAGTTAATCGAGGTGGATGAAACGCCCTCTCAGCTGTTCCTGGTCATGGAGCTCGTCAAGGTGCTTCATCTTCTTCTTCTTCTTCTTCTTCTTCTTCTTCATAGTGACTTGTGTTTCTTCCTGTCTTCACAATATCAAGAAACATTTAAAAGCCTGTGAACAGTCTCTATTTTTCACGCCTCTGCCTCCTTCAGGGCGGCGACCTGTTCGACGCCATCACCTCCTCCACAAAGTACAGTGAGCGTGACGCCAGCGCCATGGTGTTCAACCTGGCCGGAGCCATCAAGTACCTGCACCGGATGAACATCGTCCACCGAGACATCAAACCAGAGAACCTGCTGGTACACACACACACACACACACACACACACACACACACACGTTTCTGGATATTCATGAGGATCTGAAGTGACGTGTTGTAGGTTCATGAATATCAGCTACACTCTTTGAAGTATTTGGAAAAGCTTTAAAATCCACACAAATACAAATTAAACCTGAGTAATAATAACTTTACTTTTTTCTTCAGGTGTTTTCCGCCATGTGTAGTTGAATTTTTTTAATTTATTTGCGTGTTATTTGCGTTTGTGTTCTGCAGGTGTGCGAGTATCCGGACGGCACGAAGTCGCTGAAGCTGGGGGACTTCGGTTTGGCGACAGTCGTGGAGGGACCGCTCTACACCGTGTGCGGCACGCCGACATACGTTGCCCCGGAGATCATCGCCGAGACCGGGTGAGATGATGTTTCAGTGTATTTAGACGGAAGTGGAGTTTATGGTCACTGAATACTTTTACATGTATGTTATTACACCTGTTATGATCAGGTTACAATCACAGCTTTTACATCTCTGACTCTTGTGTTGATTTCTTCACAGACTATTGATACAGACTATATTTATATTATTAAATCCATATATTTTAACACTAACCTGTTGTTTGTGTAGCTATGGTCTGAAGGTGGATATCTGGGCAGCTGGAGTGATCACCTACATCCTGCTGTGTGGGTTCCCTCCATTCAGAAGGTCAGTGAGTTCCTATAATCAATAATGGATGTAATAATACGTGTTGATCTAGTTGAGTCTCGTTATCTAGATTAATTACACAGTGTTTTATGGATAAATACCTTCGTCCTTTTTATCCAGTTAATGAAGTAATAGCGTTTTCCTCCTCCTCCTCCTCAGTGAGAATAATGTGCAGGAGGAGTTGTTTGATCAGATCCTCAGAGGGAAGCTGGAGTTTCCATCTCCAGACTGGGACACCATCAGCCTGCCTGCCAAGGTACCGCTCACTCATATTATCAACAGTTAATACTGTGTGTTAAATTCAAACTTTTCTAGTTTAAATAAGAATTTTGTTGGGAAATAACAGGATCTGGTCTGTAGTAGAATAGTAGTTGTCCAGAATGGTCATGGACATTCAGCAGGACAAACCCAAAAAGAAGAAGTTGAAAGTTTTGCAAAGACACTGAAGGAGGTGAATTTAAGTCGGAAATCGCACTCCTTCTCAGAGTCATAATTCAGTCAAATCTTAATCCTCTGATGTCCATGTTAATAAATCCACTTAGAAATGCTAAAAAGAGAGAAAAGGTGCTTCAGAACTTGCCTGAGAATCCTCACATCTTTAAGTTTTCTTCAGTGTCACAGTCGCCCAGTGATAATTGTCGGTACATTGACAGGTACACTGCAAACGGAACTGATGATAATTAATTCAGCATATGTTTAATGGTGCTAATGTGCCAAAATGTAAACAAATATAAGCTACAAGTACTGGGAATCAGTAGGTAATTACAGCTCTTATTATAAGAAGAATAATAACCCACATAAAATGGCTGATTGGTGCAGGTAATGTTAAAATCACCTCCCCACCCTACAGAAATATATCCAGTCTGAATGAGGCTTCATTTCACACAGTTTACTGCAGGCTGTTAACCGTCACATGACCTGCTCCTCAGATGCTGATTAGTCAGATGCTGCAGGTGAACGTGGATGCTCGTTTCACGGCCGAGGAGGTCCTATCACACCCCTGGGTGACGGTAAGAGCGCGTTCGACCACGTGCATACACGAATGCTGGAGACGTACAGTTCAGAGAGAAGAACTGAGTGTTGTGTGTGTTTACGGTTTAGGACGAGGCCCCCGTCGACTCCAACACTGTGAGCAGCACCGAAGACCCGACCAGCGCAGACACACTGGAACCAGAGCAGGAGTCACCAGTACTGGAAACCAAACAGGTTCCCTCTCCTCTGGTCTAAAACACAAACCCCTCTCATCAACTGGAAACTGAACACAACACACTGGTTTAATTTGAACGTTTCCTCCACCTCTGGTCAAGAACTCACTCCTTGAAACCAGTTCCCGTTTTTTTTTTTTTTGGTGTCAATAAAAACTAGATTTCTAGTTTCAGAGTTCCCTCACTGCCAGTCCAGAACACATCCTGTTTCGTCTTTTGGAAACCAAATGATCGTTACCCTCTGAAAGTCCACCACCATCCAGTCTAGGATAGCACATGTTTTCACCTACTGGACCGATCTGGTCTAGAACTGTTATGTACTGGAAACCAAACAAGGTTCCACGTATCTGGTCCAGAACCTGCCCGGTTTCAATCACTGGAAACCAAACAAGGTCCCTTGCCTCTGGTCTGGAACATGCCCCACTTCTACAGAAAACCAAACAAGTTCCCGCCCCTCTGGTCCAGAGTAGATCCAGTATCTTTAACTGGAAACCAAACAAACTCCCACATTTCTGGTCCAGAACCAGTCCTGTTTCAACCACTGGAAACCAAACAAGTTCCCACATTTCTGGTCCAGAACCAGTCCTGTTTCAACCACTGGAAAACAAACAAGTTCCCACATTTCTGGTTCAGAACCAGTCCTGTTTCAACCACTGGAAACCAAACAAGTTCCCTCACCTCTGGTCCAGAACCAGTCCTCTTTCCTCTACTGGAAACCAAACAAGTTCCCACATTTCTGGTCCAGAACCAGTCCTGTTTCAACCACTGGAAAACAAACAAGTTCCCACATTTCTGGTCCAGAACCAGTCCTGTTTCAGCCACTGGAAAACAAACAAGTTCCCACATTTCTGGTCTAGAACCAGTCCTGTTTCAACCACTGGAAACCAAACAAGTTCCAACATTTCTGGTCCAGAACCAGTCCTGTTGCAACCACTGGGAACCAAACAAGTTCCCACACCTCTGGTCTACAACCAGTCCTGTTTCAATCACTGGAAACCAAACAAGGTCCTTTGCCTCTGGTCTGGAACATGCCCCACTTCTACAGAAAACCAAACAAGTTCCCGCCCCTCTGGTCCAGAGTAGATCCAGTATCTTTAACTGGAAACCAAACAAACTCCCACACCTCTGGTCTAGAACCAGTCCTGTTTCAACCACTGGAAACCAAACAAGTTCCCTCACCTCTGGTCTAGAACTTGTCCTTTTCCACAGTCTTGATTGACTGGAAACCCAATATGTTCCCTTGGATCCAGTCTACAATTGTTTTGTTGCTTCTACTCAACAAACGAATTTCCGTTTTACCTGCTAGAAACTGAACAGGTCTCATGAACTCTGGTCTGGGATACAGGCTATTTGCTGGAAGTTCCCCAGTATTATTTCAAATTAAACCTGGAAACTGTCCTCAGCTTTCATCTAGAACAGCATTTAATCTACCCAAGACTTTCACAAGTCCTGTCTCTGCTGCTGTACTGGAAAGTATTTACTTCCTCTTTGATGAGCTCCATTAAACCTCTATCATATGTCCATTTAGATCTGTAAGAAGAGTCCCATTTTGTTTTGGCTAGACGCTAATGAAGTCACCTCACTGCTGCTTGAAGGATATATACCATATCAACACTGGAACACCATGAAGGTGCTATTAGACTGATTCACCACCTAGTGTCTCATGGGACTGGAGCATTTCCTGAAAACAGCCGTTACCTCCGGTCTGAATGACACTTAACTCTGGAGGCTCTGAAAAAAAAAGGCCTCAACCCATTTTCATTGGGATATACACAATGGTTCATTTACAAAACACTCCCTCTGGTTTAGGGATTATTTTCTCTGTAGTCCCTGCCTCTTGGTGACCAGGATGTCTTCCATTAATACTGGGAAACGTCCCATTTCTCCTGCCTTTACCCTCCAGCTCTCCTTCTGCTGGCCTGAAGGACGTTTCTCATTCCTCCTACGTGGCGCCCATCAGTCCGAGGAGGTATTCGAGTACTGTGCCTGTTTACGCTGCTGATCAATTCCTCTTAAAATCCTAAACCTTTCCTCCCCAAGTTCATCTCCTCAGAACCTAGCACTTGCTATTTACTATATTTACACGAGGCTAATTGTTTTCAGTTTTTACCGATTGTTGAGTTATTGGCACAAACACAGTTGGATGAGAAAGTCTATTACGTTCTATTGTCTTTACATTAAGTTTGGATTGACTAGCTCAGCCTAAAGACAGAAAACTGGGGAAACAGCTAGCCCAGCTCTAAACCAATAAAGATCACTTGCTTAACATTTTAACGTTTAATTTTATTAGTTCAACCGATACACAAGAGAAACAGTACAGCATATTAATCTTCATTAAAACCACAAACAAGATACAATGGTTTAATAATAATTCATCTAGACATGTTTTTGAACCTTGATAGTTTCAGGCTAGCTGTTTCCCCCTGCTTCCAGTCTTTATGCTAAGCTAGGCTAATCACCTCCAGGATGCGATCTTTAGTCCAAGTTGTTTTCTGATTCTCAAAGACACTAATCACGACAGTTTACAGTAAAACAAAGTCATTGTGTGATGATCAGGAGAAGAGAAAGTGAACAGGAAATTGAGATGATGTAAATGGGTCGTTAATAAAAGAGCGATGGCTTTATAAATGTTATTTTTAAGACCTGATGTCCATTTTGAGTTTTGATAGTATAAATTTTTTTCAAACCAGAAACCAAAAAAAAAAAAAGAGTCCATAGATTCATTTATGAAAAATAAAAACTGAAAACAATGAGCTTTCGACTTCACTGAAGGACAAACTCTATGACCCAACTCCCGTCCTTCACCCGTCCCCCACGCTTCGTACTGTATCTCAAATTAACTCCAAACCTCAACGTTTCAAAAACTATTTCAACCTTTTGAGGTTCCTACCTGCAGTATGACCGGTCCAAACTCTGACCTCCTACCTGCAGTTAACGGAGGATAAAATATGTTGTAAATACTGTAAATACCACTCTGTCTGTTGGTGTCTGTCTGTGTGAGTCAGTTGTGAAGTAGGGAAACAGTAGCAGTTTGAAAAAAATAAAAATACTACAGTTAAAAGAAATAATCTCATAGTCATAGACATGATGTGTGAGCACCCTGAAAAAACCTTGTTTTTCCCAAAGAGACACTGTATCTTGATAAAGAAAAGATTTTCCACATTGATATGGAGACATTTTCACATTGTGAAATATATTTTCAATAGTTAGTTATTGACTCAATTAAAAAACAGGCAGAAAAAGAACAAGACTCAAGGTTTCTGAAGGGTGTTGACGAACTGTAACGAAAGAGTTCTTACCTTAAAGCCGAGTTCGAGATTGATCGAGTAGCAACAAATAACCGGACAGCGACGGATCTCTTTCTTTACACGGTCATGTGTCTGTGACATCGTGGGTCATCCACCAATCATATCGCTCCATCCACACATCCATCATGCTGTCTGTTGATATTACTGGTCATTAGAGTCACTGAGGATGAAGGAAAGGTGTATGTGTGTGTGTAAATAAGTGTGATTGTGGGTATTTCGTTTTCCACATTGTAATGTTTTAACTTAAAATCACGTGGAAATGGGAAAAATATGAGGTTCCATTTGTGCATTTTGTGTGTGTGTGTGTGTGCATTAAGGGAAGGGGGTCACTACTTTTAAAACTTGAAACGAAACGTCAGTCGTCATCTGGATAAATGCGTTGACCTGATGCAGTGTTATGACCTTACCACGACCTTTCCGTGGCCTTTACCTTTGGCCCGAGCCACTGATTAAGAATTTGGCGGGATGAGCTGCTGAGGTCGCGTCGCAGAGCGTCTGATGTGTTCATGAGGGGGAACTTCAAAAACGCACAGGGTTTCAAAGAGTTTTCGAAGAACCAAACGAATTCTGTCAAAGATAATGTTAAAAACTAAAATAGATTAATCACAGACGTTCACAAATTACAGTTGTCTTGGTCAGATTTACATTACTAACCAGCTCAAACGGCAGCATCACATTCAGATTCACCTGGCTTTGTAGTTTTTGTGTAATTGTAGACAATGAGAATGAAAACGTAGATTATAGTGCTAAATATCAATATCAGTTGTCATTCGACATAAGGAAACCAATCATCTTAAAGTCCGTTCTAACACTACTTTCCAACACTAATGAAGTATTTAATACGTCGATAACAAGTTAGCTCTACTCCACTCCTCACTATTGAATTACTGTTGACCCTCGAGGAAACCTGAACTGCAGCCAAACTCTTGTAATCAGTGGCTTGGCCTTTGACCTTCTATGCCTGCTATGAACCCAGTAGTCTTAATTCTTTTCTCTTTGCTTTATACCAAACCGAAAGGAGCCTTCTGTTGATACTGTTAGTGGTGCAGCCACACCAGGGTCAATGAGCGGCTGAAATCTGCTCAGTTTATATCATTTTGAGTCTAATTTTTGATTGCTCTCTCTGCCATTAATGTGCAGTTTACTACAAACAGTACAGTCTTACTGTCTGCAGTAGTATTGAAGAACCATATTGGTGGATTTGCATGTTCCAAAAAGGTTTTAGACTGGCGTTGGACTCCTGTTTTTGGTTCGTTTCCTGCAAAAACTCGGTTGAATTCATCACTACAAGTCAATCACATAACGTTAATATTGTTTGTTAAAGTTCCAACTTCTAATATCTGCACGTTTTTACAAACTGTGGAGTCAGAAAAATCAATCAAACCCGGAAGAGGAACAGGTTCGGCAGTCAGCTACTGAATCTAAAATATCCATGAATGAGTTTCCGTTAATGCAGTTCGCAAACGATATCCACAAAGATTGTCTATCAGGATTACTAGACAAAAAAAACATTCCTCTTATCGTCCAGATTGTCGGTTCATTGACTCAGATTTTCTCATCTGACCTCGTCTCTCTGTATTTTTCAGTGAACTGTAGTTCGTTCCTGAACAGACATTAACGGATCGTTTCAGAGACGACGCGTCTGGTTCCATTGATGCGAGCAAAGACTCAAAGTAACTGAGTAGATTTCAGAGTGATTTGACTCAGGGTTGCTGTAGTTATTCGGCCCTTTGTGTGTGTTTTTATCAAATGCAATGTGTGTGTGTGTGTGATCATTTCACATCATGCCTCATTTTCGTCAGAAACTGATTTTTTTTTTTAATTAAATGCAGTAGACAAATTAGGATTTTGAACCAACCTGTGCTGGTTTTCCTAAAAGAAATCTCAGATTCTGAGGTTTATCAATGTTTATTAATTTAAAGACAATCCATTATCTAGAATGACAAGACTGAACTTTGAACCTGGAAGCTACAAACCAGAAAAAAAAACATTTGCTGTGTAAAAAGTTATTTCTTTACAGCTCAAAGTTTCACTGTGAGTATTTTCAAATCTAAATTAAAGCTCAGCTGTCGGTGTTTTTCTGTGAGATTCTTTTTAGGAAAACTAGTCCTGGCTTGAAGTTGAAGGAGACGTGAGAGCAACAGTGTTTTGAGGACATGTTGTAGACATGTTTTAATGCTAACAATGATCTGTAATGTGATGTGTGTTGATATGAAACATGTATGTTTGTTGGGATCAGGGCGTGGGCATTTGGAGAAAAGAAAACACCCTGATTTGTATCAAGAAAAGATGAATTCAACTGTGAAAATAAAACTGATGCAGTGGCATCATGTTATCCCACCGTGTCTTTGTTACTGTTGTCTTCCTGTCACATTTTAACATGTATCTACTAGACATGGATTCATTCATACAACAATAATATTTACTTTAATGAAGCTGAATGAGTCTCTGAAGAAGTTAACAGTGAGATCGTTTCTAATGGACATCTATTAAGCTTTAATCGAGACCTGTTTCCTACCACCTTTCCTGTATTACCAAAGCTGAATCTAAAAGGTTTAAAAGGGCAGAACCTGCTGCCAAAGTTCAAACCGATTGTAAAATCATAAACAAAGGCCATAAATGCTCTTTTTCCATAAATGAAACAGGTTGATAACACCTCCAGTTTAGGGATTGGTGTTATCACCATGCTGCGTAGTGGAGGAAGCTGCTGCTATCCAAAAAACAGGCTGATGGGAAAATCTGCTGTTACTGGAAAGATTTTGTAGCTGGAGCCATTTAAACCCCTGAACCTTAAAACTGGAACCTATAAACTAAAAAATGACCCATTAAAGTCTTATTTGTATTTAGCTTATGAGTTCTTGACTTCAAATTTTCAATAATATCTTGAAATGAAAATCTAAATTAAAGCTCAGTGGTTTGACGTATGAGTGTTTGTGTCACATGCTTTTAAGAAAACATGTCCTGGGTTGCAGTGAAAAGAGAAGTGAGAGCAGTTTTTAGAGGACGTTTGTAGGAGACATGTTTTAATGCTTAAAAATTAAATATGTGATGTGTGTTTATATGAAATATAAGTTTGGTTGTGAGTGTTTGCCAAAAAGAAAAAACCCTGATTTGTACAAACAATAGATGCGACAATAAAACAAATCCAGTGACATAATGTCAACCTGTGTCTGAGTTACTGTTGTTTTCCTGTCTTTAATTTACTTAATTTATTTCAAATCTGACTGGATTCAAACACAAAAGCATTATTATCCATCGGAAACAGAAAAGTATCACAAAATGAAGAACAATCTCAGCCACTCCCACTAAACGTTACAGGCTTATCTCATGATAAGAGGTCGATATATCGGCTGTAAATATGTAAATTAGAGCTGGACACAGTATCAAAGTTCAACCCAACTATACACAAGTAAAGGAAGGCTAGAAAGGCTCAAAATGCTCCTTTTCATTGAGTGAAATAAAAGACTGATAACCCCTCCTCATCTGACTTCCTGGTTCCTGCCTCTTTCACAGATCTGCAAGTGTAGAGATGGGTATAACAAACACGCTGTGTGGTGCAAGAAGCACAAGCCACTCTCTCTGTAGATCAGCATGCAAATGTGAAAGTAAATCAAAGGCTTGTGTGTGATAATTGCTGTGGTGAAAGTGAAACTTTAGATGTTCCCTGTTGTTGAGAGGTGAAATGGCGCAGAAGGGAAATAAGGCAGACGGAATGAAATTCTGTTGTTCGATCTGTCTGGATCTACTGGAGGATCCGGTGACTATTCCCTGTGGACATAACTACTGCATGAGCTGCATCGAATCTTTCTGGGATGACGATAAGAAAAGAGTGCACAGCTGTCCTCAGTGCCGGGAGACTTTCATACGGAGGCCTGCACTGGTGAAAAACACCATGTTGGCAGAGTTAGTGGAGGAACTGGAGAAGACCGGACTCCGAGCTGCTCCAGCTGATCACTGCTACGCCGGACCTGGAGATGTGGCCTGTGATGTCTGCAGCGAGAGGAAGCTGAAAGCCGTCAAGTCCTGTCTGAATTGTGTGGCTTCTTACTGTGAGCAACACCTCCAGCCTCACTACGAATCTCCTGCTTTTCAAAAACATAAACTTGTTGACGCCACCGTTAAGCTTCAGGAGACCATCTGCTCCGGTCACAATGAGGTGATGAAGATCTTCTGCCGCACTGATCGGCAGTGTATCTGTTATCTGTGCTCCATGGATGAACATAAAGGCCACGACACAGTCTCAGCTGCAGCAGAAAGGACACAGAAGCAGAAGGAGCTTGAGCTGAGTCGGCAAAAAATCCAGCAAAGGATCCAGAACCGAGAGAAAGATGTGAAGGTGCTTCAGCAGGAGGCGAGAGCTATAAATTGCTCTGCTCATAAAGCAGTGATGAACACCGAGAAGATCTCCAGCGAGCTGGTCCGTCTTATCAAGAAAACAAGCTCGGACGTGAAGAAGCAGATCAGATCTCAGCAGAGAACTGAAGCGAGTCGAGTCAAAGAGCTTCAGGAGAAGCTGGAGCAGGAGATCACTGAGCTGAAGAGGAAAGACGCCGAGCTGGAGCAGCTCTCACGCACAGAGGACCACACCCAGTTTCTTCAGGGTTACCCTTCATCGTCACAACTTCCTGAGTCTCCAGACTCACCCAGTGCAAAAATCCATCGTCTGCGGGACATCGAGGATGCGATAGTTGCTATGACAGCAGCAAGAGATCGAATACAGGCTGTTGTTAGTGAGGTCTTCATCAGACAATCACCGACAGACACAGACGTGGATGTTTTGCCCACGACTAGAGCCGAGTTCTTACAATATTCAAGTCATATCACACTGGATCCGAACACAGCGAGCGCCGGGCTGATGTTATCTGATGGAAACAGAAAAGTTTCAAAGACTGAAGGGCAGTTACAATCCAGTCACCCAGAGAGATTCACCGGTTTGTCTCAGGTGATGAGTGAGAACGAACTGACCGGGCGTCGTTACTGGGAGGTGGAGAGGAAAGGGAAAGTTTCAATTGCGGTCACCTACAAAAACATTAGCAGAACAGGAGAGTTCACTGCGAGTGCATTTGGATACAATAATAAGTCTTGGGCGTTAACGTATGACAACAGTTACACGTTCAGACACCACGCCTCCGATTTCATTACAGGCTCTCAGCCCTCCAGAGTGGGAGTGTACCTGGATCACAGCGCAGGTGTTCTGTCCTTCTACAGCGTCTCTGAAACCATGACTCTCCTCCACAGAGTCCAGACCACGTTCACCCAGCCGCTCTACGCTGGACTCTGGCTTCACGGTTCTGATGGAGACGCTGCCGAGTTGTGCAAGCTCAAGTAAGATTAAGAAATCAACAAGACAGAGGAGTTGGTGATCTACTGGAGCCCGGACACTTTGGTCACCGAGGAGATAACAAGTTATTGCAGAAAGAATATGGTAGGTAATCTTCTTAGTGGCTTTTAAAATGGATAAAAAAAACTACTTCAGGTGTATGAAAAGTAATAAAAAAAACATAATGTGATCCTGAAAGGAATCTTATATTATAGTGATTAAAATGGCACTTAGATATATTTATATAAATTATATAAACGTCTTTGAGTTGCTAAGGTGAGGCGTGACTTCTGTGACACCTCGACCAAGATCACTGGAGTTATCTTCTCATTAGATCTCGAACTTTAATGTAATGTCTCTTATGTTTCACTCTATGCACTGATTTTTGTTAAACTACACTGCTCTTCAATCAATGATCTATCTTGTTAATATTATGCTTCAGTTGTTGCAGTAGGTTTACATGATTATTACTTGATCAATCAGTGCATTAGAGCTGCAAGGATTAGTTGATTAATCGATCAACAGAAATAGTTTTCAGCTTCTGAAATGTGAAGATTTTGTTTATAATATACGACAGTAACTGAATATCTTTGGGTTTTTATTTGCACTGTTGAGCAAATAAAGCAATTTGAACTGCTTGAGATTATAATGGGTATAATGGATAATTTTCACTATTTTCAATTTATAGATAAAATGATTAATAAAGAAAATAATCAGTGGATTAATTAATAATGAAAAAACTCATTACTTGCAGCAATGCAACACATACTTTTGTGATCGCTGTATTTCTGTTTAATACTTTTTATGTGACGTCTATGATAATTGTTGACCACCCCTCCGTCTGTCAGTGTCGTCCTGGTGTATTTGAATTACTGTTTGTATAATGGTGTTGGGAAATTAATTTAGTGTGTGGAAACATTGTGGTAGTGAAAATACAGTGAATAAAAAAACAAAAAACAAACTGTGGCTTGTAAACCGTTAATATATCTGCACCTGATTCCCTACATTTCCAGACTTGATTTTAGTTTTTGAGTTTATTATTCAGCCATTACAGACCTTATATAACTAAATATAAATTAAAATTTTGAATTGTTTTATGCATTTGTGTTTTAATAACACACTAACTCCACCTAGCAAGTTTTTAGAAACCACAGAAAATGACTAAATATAATCTTAGTATAAAATAATCAATTATTGCATCTACAATAAAATAATTTACAGTCATTTTTATGATCAGAGTGAATGTAAACAGTAGTTTACCAGATAGTTTATCTGGGTTTTTACTAACCATGCTGGACAGAATGTGCATCACTCCATTTTACCATTTAATGTGTCTTTATTAAAGTTTATTGAGTCAGATTTGTCAGTTGTACAAAAAACCAAAAAGTAAAAACCAAAGAAAAGAATTATTGAAATGCCTCAAAGTTTTATTTGGATTAAAAAGTCGGAATGTTTGGTTATACATAAAATATCTGTTAGAAAGCGATTTATAAATCTCTCAGTTTCTGTCGCACTCACATTTATAGACACACACACACACACACATACACACACACACACACACACACACTAGTGTTACAGTCATTACATTGGTGCACAATCAGTCCAATAGATGCCACATGGAAGATTTTCTCTTTAGCGAGTTGACACCAAATTAGTCGTGAAGATGGATGGATGGATGGATGGATGGATGGATGGATGGATGGATGGATGGATGGATGGATGGATGGATGCTGAAAGGTTTTCTTCAGTGAACAATGAACTGTTTGCACTTGGATGCACTGGCTCGATTGTCTGGTGAGGATTATTGTAACAGACGGCTGAATGCGAGTGTCTGCAGGGTGCAGAGGACAGTGAAAGCATCTTCTGTCTCTAACTGTGGAACATTTCCCCACACGTCTTTCATTACTGTCAAATTACAATAACTGCATGATTTGTGTTGTGAATTTTTTTACGACGCATTTTACATGATCTTATTACGCTTCAGGAGCTCTGACCATCACTGACCATTTAGATTTAAAATAAACTGTCAGAAAAGTTTCTCTAGTAAATCAACATCTTGACAAAATAATCACGTCACATTATTTTTATCTTCAGGACTCCACATATAGCAATTTAAAAAGAAGTGGACAACCAAGCACCATCTACTATAATACAACTTCACTGTCATCTGGCTGCATTTTATTTTGTAAATCTATGTTTAACACTGCCGTCAAGACTTTCAAAATTAAATGGAAAAGATAATAAATAATAACTGAATAATGTAAAAAGTTAGTACATTTTTAAGACCTTCAAGTGACAAACAACTAAAATCTTTAATTTAATAAGAGGAATTCATCATCACTGCTAATTTGTTGACAGCACATTAAGAGAAAATCATCCATCTTTTATCTTCAAAGAAAATAAAAACACTTCAGTTGATGAATGCGACTCATTTTCAGTCTAGAAATGAGAGATGCCGTTTTTTTTTTTAAGAGGAAGGAAACGTGAGGAGGAAATGTGAAGGAACACGTGAGGACTGATATGTTGATATGTTTTTAAAATCACATCCAGAGCCGCACCGTCGCTAACGTTGTGACAGACACACTTCCTGTTGTTGGCACAGAGCGCGTTCAAAACCACCTCACACACACCGTTTAACTGCAGGAAGCAAGAGGAGCGCGACATTTAAAGCCTGACTGTAATAAACCATGAACATGTTTAAGTACCAGAAGGGATTTAGAAAAGGTTCGTGGTGCACGGTTGAGTTTCATGACCTTTTGTGTTTTTGTCGTTTACTGAGCTGCTCGCGCTTAGTGTCGAGATTTAACTGCAAGTTTAAATACGGAATTACGTGTATTTATTTTACTTTAATGCCAACTGTTTTCAAAAATACTTTTAAAGTGCTTTTAAAGTATTTTTGGATCTTGTGCGACGTGTTGAGTCTCACTGTTAGAAAAGCTTTGATCAGCAGTGACGACAGATGAAAACCAGTCGTAGTGTTTTCTTTTTTAAATGATCCGGTTAAAACTTCAAAGCTTCGGGAATGTGAAACATTTCTAAAAAGTTTCTCCAATGAGAAATGTGCAACAGTCTTTTATAAATAGCTACAGGAACCTACCAGTGTCGCCAAACAAAACAAAACATTTCAATGAAAATTTCCTAATAATTTGTCTCAAAAGAGGAAAAATTTTTTGCTCTACAAGTTTAAAATATTATATAACAGCACCAAGCGTCACTCAGGTCGCACAGCAACATCCTGCCTGCAGCTCACACTCGCCTCGCCGCCGCTCCACGGACAGATTAACTATTGAAAAGCCCGAACTCGCAGTCGTTCATCTGAAAACTGAATGAATTAATGTGGAGCTTTAATTCAGTTTCCTGATCTCCTCCGGCTCTGGAGGAGAATTAACGCTCGGCACGGTTCACTATGTTAAAGATAAATGTAGTTCTAGGTTTTAACTGAGTTACTTAAAGTGAATTAATCCTCCTGCGGAGCTGAGGGCTTCCAGTTCGGATGCTGTTTCCACGGACACCATAAAAACTTTTGTTAAACATCTGTAACAGATACAAAGAGGCAAAGCTGAAGTCGTCTAAAAAGCAGATGTCCAGCCGTGTGTTTTTCCTTTATGTCCCATCACACCGATCGATTTCACACGAGCGCAGAGCTAAAACTGTCACGAGCAGGAGCTTCAGGGTTCGAGTCCACGTCCCGGTCAAATCCAAAAGAGTCAAATCCAAAAGAGTCAAATCCAAAAGAGTCAAATCCAAAAGAGTCAAATCCAGTCCCACAAAAACGTCACAACATGACAGGAAGCTGAGACTAAACTCAACGTCATCGACATCAGTTTTCCTCCGTCGTCAAGGCAGCACAGGTCCATCCTGTTCTTTGTCATCATAGGTCTCAGTTGCCATGGCGACGTCAGGTCAGGGTTGTCAATCCGATGACATGTCAGAGTCCAGATCAATAACAAAATTACCAATAAAAACCGACCGAGCTGCTTTTGTTTCATTAAAAAACTGCTTCAAAATGTGAATGTTCAGATTCGTGTGCGCGTTCCTCGTCAGCGCAGGAAACGCTCCGCGGCGTCGGCAGGTCGGGAGGTTGCCGGTTCAAAACCGGAACCTGTTTTAACAGACGATAAAAGAAAGTCGCTCTCAGGCCGTTTCAGGATTTCCTCGTCAGAGAAGTGAAATGTAGTTTTTAGGCACAATCCCACGCTTCCCGCCCACAACTCCCAAAATCCACTGCTCATCCACAGGCTCCACCTGTGTCATGATGTCACCGACCTGCAGCGGGACAGAGAGAGAGAGAGAGAGAGAGAGAGAGAGGAACATCCAGCTGATTTAAAAACAAGACATGAAGAGAGAAGAGAAATGATCCACTCCTGACTCCCTCACACCTTTAGTGACAGCTCGTCCTCGCCCTCTGCTGTGAAGTCAAACAGAGCCTTGGCCGCTCCTTTACCTGCCCACTGCTGGTCTGGGACTGGAAACAGGAAGAGGAAACTGGGGTTAGAGACCTAACGGAGCACTGACTCACCAGGAGTCCCGGGACCACCAGGTGGACGGTCACCACGGTCGGTCGGACATTCTCAGGTGAGGTGCTGGTTACAGACGTTAACAGATCTTTGATTTAACTGTCTGACCCTCCTGAGTGATAAACCCCGCCCACCTGGCACATCCAGGAAGATTAAACCTGATGTGCTGATCCATATTCACAGGCAGCGGATCAGTTGATTTGGAAGCTTGACCTCATTTATTCAGTTCGGCTTTTTTTGGACGTGGAGTTGTGTGAGGTCGTCATATATAATCTGGACCTGCGGTCCCCGTTAGGAAAGCTGTGTGTGTGTGTGTGTGTGTGTGTGTGTGTGTGTGTGTGTGGTACCCTGGTAGGGCTGTGTGAAGGCAGCGGGGTAGAGCCCCTCCCTCCCCTCCAGTCTTCCTCTCCTCCATTCAGCGTCGACGTGCTCCGTCACTCGGATCACCGCCCCCTTGTGGAAAGACAGATCCTCTGCAGTCTGACCGGGGAAGTCAAACACAGCCACAGCCCACTCCTCTGCCTACACACACACACACACACACACACACACACACACACACACACACACACACACACACACACACACACCAGTAAAACACTAATTTTGACAATTTTTGAGAGAAAAATGTGAAAATCTGAACATAAATGAAACAATTTACAGTGTTTATAACATGTAGGAAACACAGAAGATACTGTAATAATGTTGGTGCAGTAGTTATGAGTTCACACACACACACACACACACACACACACACACACACACACCTCTGGGTTTGGGTCCTGCACAGTCTTTGGTTCTGTTGAGGACAAATGGGAAAAGAAGAAAAGACCATTACATTGAAATCTAAAGCGTCTGCTTCAGACTGAATGTGCGCAGCAGATTGAAAACGGCTCCGTCACCGTTTCATTTAAATTTAGAAATAACTATTACTAAACATTTTCTTAATCCTACAGCAGAATTTCCTGTTAATTTTCAGATAATCAGAGAGAAAATAATGTTGTTGTTTTGAGTGTTTTGTGGTTCAGACTCCACAGCGCCCCCTAGTGTGTCGGCATTACATCTTCCACCATAATTATTATTGGCTTATTGACTTTGTTCTTTTTCTTTACACTCATCTGCAAAATTAATACCGACAACAAATTTACAGTAAAGATGAGACATTTGAAGACAAAGAAAGTAAATTCTTCAGCCCACCAGAACTTTCTATCACTGCCGTGTCCACCGACGTACTTTTTGTCGTCTCCCCTGGCGATGGCGGCGGCGGCGGCTGCGGAAGCGGCTCCACCACCTCAGCGAAGTTCAGGGGGAACACTCCCACCCGGCCGTGGATCTGGCCCCGCCCCCACTCCTGCCCCATGAGCTCGAGCAGGGCGATGACATCACCCTGGGAGAAGGTGAGCTCGTCCTCCTCCTCGCCCTCGTAGTCGAACAGGGCGATGCACCGGGGACCGCTGCGCACACGCCAAATCAATACGCACAACATGAAACGAGAATCTGGTGCGTAGCTCGTCGTGTCGTGTGTGTGTGTGTGTGTGTGTGTGTGTGTGTGTGTGTGTGTGTGTGTGTGTGTGTCTCACCTGACAGGGGGAGGGTCTGGCTGCTCCTTCTGTTCAGCGGGCTGCACAGGGAGGATCGACTAAACGACAAAGGAAAAACAATCATCAACTCACGTCCTTTAAAGAGTTTTTAAAATCCAGCGCCGTGTTTAGAGCTTGAGATCAGCTGATCTATTACCTGGGACTCTGATAGGCCGAGCTCCTCCAGGGCAGATTTTGACTGGCGGTCCTGATCCGGGAGCGGCTCTGGTGGGGTGTCCAGGTCCAGAAGACACTGTGAGGGGCTGATGACGGGGGCGACGGGGGTTTGATGCTCTGAGGGAGCCGGGCTGGGGTCGTCCAGGACAATCAGGACTTCCTGTTTCTATGGCGAAATTTACACTCAAATCTATGATGTCGTATTTCCTCTGTGTGTGTGTGTGTGTGTGTGTGTGTGTGTGTGTGTGTGTGTGTGTGTGTGTACCGTGTAGCTGTTATAGAGAGGATGTCCAGGTTTAGGCCGGGGGGGCAGAGGCGGTCCTCTCTTCGGTGCCCTCTGAGCCTGCAGCTGATTGGCCGTTACAGATGGAGGAGAAGGAGGCGTGGTCTGTGAAGGTGCAGACTGGCCGACAGGTGAGACAGAGGGAGCGGGACCGGTTTTGGAAGGAGGGGGAGGGGTCGGATTGGCTGAGGGAGTCGAGGTGACGGCTGGAGGCGGTGGTCGCCCAGGGATGGATTTGATTGGTGGAGGACGAAGTGGGAGGAACTTTCCACTTGAAGGCCTGGAGAGAAAGACAGGTGAACTGGTTTTCAACCTTAAAGAGGAAGAGAAGTGTTTGTCTGTGCTGACGGATGATGGTCGACCTGAAGCGTTACCCGTCTGCAGCTGATTACGATGCTGCAGATGAAATAACATTATAATCAAAGTTTTAACGTTTCAGTCGAATAAAATTTCCAAAACTGATATTTTCTGCTTTAATTGAGATTTTCAACTTCCTGTCCGACCGTGTGTCAGAGATGCACACAATTAATTTAAGTGACTTTCTCCTGTTAATGCTGCACTGCCAACAGGACATCACTGAGGGGTCAGAGGTCAATTTATTTGAAGTAAGACGAGAAAACCTGGTGAAATATATGAGCAGTTATGACTAAGACTCATGTAGCTGCTTATGAGACCACAGCTGTATTTCACATTGGCAACAGACGAGCTGATACTGAGCAACGTGTTTAATACACGGTGGCGTCTCATTAAATCAGCGTCACCGTGCGTCACCGTGCGTCACCGTGCGTCACCGTGCGTCACCGTGCGTCACCGTGCGTCGCCTCACGGAGTCTCACCGTGGAGGAAGAGGAGGGTCTGAGGACTTTGGGTTAGCAGTGCTTTCGGTTTCAGCTTTGGTCTGGATCACAGGGCCTTTCCTCAGAGCCGGAGCCGGAGCCGGAGCCGGAGCCGGAGCCGGAGCCGGAGCCGGAGCCGGAGTCAGAGCTGGAACCGGAGCTGGAGCTGGAGCTGGAACCGGAGCTGGAGTCAGAGCTGGAGGTTTGGTTGGGACTGGAGCGGCGGCGGCCGGTCCTGATGGTTTGGAGGTTGTAGCTGGAGCAGCTGCAGGTTTGGCGGGGACTGGGTTTGGATCTGGAGGCGTTGTTGAGAGTCCTGTGGGTTTGGGAGCCAGATTTGGAGCTGGAGGTGGAGAGCGCATGTCAGACCACATTACTCAGACTACACGTTCATATATCTTATAACTACTTGTTCATATCACAAGCTAAAGTCACAATCAACAATCAAAGTTATCAACTGTCTAAAAGCAGGAAACCTTTAAAAAGAAAAACTCTCGCTGTCACAATAAAGGCAAAGAATAAAACACACAACAATATTTCTCACGTCCTGATATCTACTTTCATTAATCGACATGTGGCTGGAGGCTTTTACTGTGAAGGAACACACTGAACAATGCGGCTATCACACCTGAAATAAAGATTAGGCTTCATGTAAATCACACATTTGGATATTGAAACACACACGTTTCAAGATGGCGGCGCACACGAGTGCAGCAGCTCTTTGCTCTCTGGAATTTTTGTGTATTTTTTTTGTTTGTTTTGACATATTTTTATATTATTTATCTTATTAGAGAGAATCTGTGTCTTGTGTTTTTTGATGTTGCTTGTCTCTCTTTTTTTTTCCTCCTTTGCACCAACAGGGACAATACAGGCTTTCTACCTCTAATCCCATTTCCTTACACGCAGATCGAATAACCATGTGGGTAAGAGCAGACTGATGACCTCACACACCGATGACCTACTTTAGCTCAGAGTCACTGTCCTGTTGTTTTGATTCTGACACCAGAGAGTTTTATGTAAAAATAAAGAAACCACAAGAAAATAAAAATAGTTTTCATTTGCTTCTGGTGTACGAGGCAGACAATAAAGCCTGGCTAGTTGCATCATGGGAAATTATACACTGCCAGCCAGATACAGCTGACAGCGCGCACACACACACACACACACACACACACACACAATTCTGACACATTAAACTCACAGCACACAAACAGTGGGGTCTTTTTTCTTCTCACACAATATCAGCATTTTTCTTTCACAGAGTTTGAATTGCATAATGTAACCCCTTCTCCTTCTTCTGTTACACACACACACACACACACACACACACACACACACACACACACACACAACTTTCAATCTCTTCACATGTTTGCATATTTCTGCAACATAACGAGGAAGCTTGTGTCTGTAAGCATTCAAATGCTCCATTGTATGACAGCTACATACAGCTTAGTATCACACACACACACACACACACACACACACACACACTCTCTCTCTCTCTCTCACCACTGGCTCTGCGTGGGGAGGTCAGCGCTGCTGGTTTGGTCGGGATGCCTGGACGGAAACTTCCTCCTTTCACTGAAACAACAAAAATCAGACAAATAAGAAAAACTACATAAATATTACCCATCATGCTTTGCTGATGCATGACATCCACTTTCAGCCTAGCTTGGCCCTGTTTAGACTGACTGAGGCTCGTGCTAAATGACACAGGTTTAATGAAGGTCAAGTGCAGAGCTGAAATACATACACACGAGTATTAATCCACAGGAAATAATCAATCAACAATTTATCTTTTTTTCAAGTATAAACATGTTTTATTCATAATATTTTGTTCTTTTCCAGTTGTGAGGATTTGTCGCTCCCCTCGTGTGTAAACACACCTCCAGGTTGTTATCACGACTGCAGCAGCTCTGCTAATGATTATTTCATTATCAATAAATCTATTTTCTGACATTTCATGGAAGAAACAATTAACCAAGAGAATAATCGACACACAAAATGTCAGAAAATAGCAAAGAAAGTTCATCATGTATTCAAATTATTATAAGATATTTAGATTATCAGCAGAGAAGTAACAGATTCATCTGTAAAGATGGTGGTTTCACATCTGGATTCAGTCATGTAAGTAACACACCTGTGTGCAGATGTTGTTGGAGTTCCTGCTGCTGCCTGCAGGGGTCAGTAAAGACAACAGACTACTGGTTTAACCTTTAACCCTCTGAGGTCGACAGATGTTTCTATTAATATCTTTCAATAACACAGCGTAGACATACGGTTTGAATGTGGTTCAAATCTGACGACGCTTTTACATGACATGAAGCTAAAAGGCCTTGAAGCTCATTTTAGGCATTTTTCATACATTTATCTGCTTTTTCACTCATTTATTTTACTGTTTTTTATCAACAAAAGACAAAACAAAACCCATTTCAACTCATCTACATCAGTAAATGTGTTTTCACAAGAGAATCTTTTTGATCATTATAGAAAGAGCCGAGATATTTCTGACAATCGTTTTAAAAGGTGAATTTAAGAAATAATGGAGAAATGGAGAAAACACCCACAGAGGGTTAAAGACAAAGACATTAACCAGAATCAGACTCACCAACTTGGTTCACAGCGTCCTGCGTCTCGTCACTTCCTGTCTCTGTCTGTGCTCCACTGCCGACCTCCACTGTGGGTCTCGGGGGCAGAGTCGGGGTGGTGTGTCCAGCTGCGGTGCTCTTATCCTGGGGTGGTGCTCCAGCGCTGGCCCTAGGGGCGACTGGAGGTCTGGGTGGGGGTTTGGGGTTGGCTGGGGAGGGAGCGTCACTGAGAGAGGAGGTGTGTTTGGGAGGAGGGGGCCTGGGCGCCGGGACGGGGGCGGGGTTACCGGCTGGGAGGGTGTCTGGAGCAGACTGGGGTTTTGGCGTGAGTGAAGGTTTTTCCGTGGTTCTGGGGGGTGGGGGCGTCGAAGCTGGAGCAGGTTTCGGGGCACAGGAAGGTGCTGGTTCTGTAGCAGGTTTAGGGTTCAAGTCTTCAGACGGGGGTTCAGTTATTTTCAGAGTCTCTGCGCCACCCGAGTCTGCTGGCGCCACCGCCGCCGCCAAACCACCATCTTCCCAGAATACCTTGCTGGATGGTTTCGGAGCATGTGAAAAGTTTTTGGGTTTTGGTGCAACGATGGGAGGGGCAGATTTGGCTGGTTGGCCCTGGAGACGAGGGCGCGGCCGGGGTTCAGGTCTCTTTGTGACAACAAAGTCTCTGTTGTTAGCGTCCCCGCAGCTCCCATCAGCCACCTGCTGCTGCTGCTGCTCGAAGGCTTGTATCCTCGCCTTCAGAGTCGCCATGTCCTCGCCGTCCTCTTCCTCACTTTCTGATTGGCTGTGCCCGCTGCTGTCGCTGCGGCGATCAGGGAAGCCCCAGTCGTCTGAGCTGAAGGCCTCGAGCAGCTCCTGCAGGTACTTCCCCTGACTCACTTCCTGGTTGGCGGTGTCGGCTTCTGTGCGGGCGGCTAGCGTGGCCAAACCGTCCTCACGGAGTTTCACCAAAGTCTGAACTTTGACCTCGTTGCTGATTGGCTGGACTCCGATCTTAGTACGAGGCCGCGGGCGTGGACGCTGCAACTGGGCCTGAGAAGACGCCGTGGATGTAGTTGCCGTGTCAACAGCAGCTGAAGCCTGATCCCATTGGTCAGTTTGAGCACTGGTGGTTGAGGTCACAGGGGAGGAGGCGTGTGTGTCGATACTGTCACTGCTAATGGAGGTGAGTGTTGATTGGCTGGCGGTGATGTCATCAATGTGAGACGACTTGGGAGGGTAGGAGAGAGGCAGTCGTGGTCGTGGTGGTCTCACCGGTCTTCTCTCTGCATGAAAACAAATATAATTATATTATATTATATATTTATGAATAAAAATATAAAGATGCTTTAAAAACACATGAAGAAGAAACACTCACCCGGTGCGTCCTCGGGGTCGGGAGCAGACGCTGGGTCAGTCTGTGTGGCGATGGTTATTGTGGAAACTGGACGTGGCGAGGATGACGAGGAGCAGGAGGAAGAAGAAGGCAGGAGACCCTGCTCCTGTGTCTTCTCTCTGATCACCTCCTCATAGGAAGGAGGAGGCTGAGGAGGAGAAAACCCTGTTACCCAACAAACAAACTGAACCGGACTCTATCCATTCGCACTGAGACGGACAGACACACACCTGTATGGACGGAGGGATTGTGGGTCCCCAGATCTGTGCGGCAGGAGGAGGGGGAGGTGGGAATCCTCCAGAGGCCCCTGGGAACCAGGACGTGGAGGCCAGCGGCTCTGCAGACAGGATGGTGATCTCTGGTCGCCTGGCAACAGGTACAGATAACAGGAAGTCAGCAGAGGGATATCTAGAGATGTACAGTTTTTACAGTGTAAAGGTGTGTGTCCATGTGTAGTGTGATTATAGATCAGCTCTAGCTTCTATATTAATACTGTGAAAGTATCAAAGCCTCAGTCCACAGAGAAATGCACACAGCCTGTATTCAGAAACTGAGCCTTAAAACCAGCCGTCAGGACTTCTGGAACTTTGTGATGTCACAACAAAGCAGTCATCAAGCCCCGCCCACCTGGACCCACCATCCAAACCTTGCAGGATTTGGTTTCTTTGATTGTTTTACCTGTAAACGTCGTTTAACGAATTATTCAAACTATTAGTGACTCTGTCAACAGAATAAGTAATAAATGAACAGTTGTTTTCGGTCATTGACCCTCGTCAAGCATCAGATTCACATTATGACACGACATCATCTTTATATAAGAATTACAGGCTGCAACAACCAAACAAAAGAAAAAGCTGAGACAGTTACTGCACCAAGAATTGATAAAAACATCCCCGAGTGTGCAGGAAATGAATTTGAACTCATCTGTCCACCAGGTGTATGTTACGTAACACTTCGGTCTAAAAGAAAACACAGTCATATAAACATTTTGTACTTTTTTCAGCGCTCCCAGGTCTGTGTTTTGACAAATATTTGACTCAGCTGTGATCTCAGTGTGAAGCAACACACAGCAACAAGAGGCTCAAAGATCAGAGAGCGGCTTATAAATGTTTACGTTGGTTCAAATCCAAGAGCCGTCCAAGTGTGAGAATGTGAGGCAGGAAGGAGTGAAGAGTGATGAACTGCTGCCGACAGTCAAACAGGTCAATCACCTCCAGAAGGTCAAGTTTGTTGAGGAAAAATACTGAGTGGACAAATGAAGCGTGAGGACTTATCTGTTTTATGTGATGTTATGAGAAGAGGTTTGATTCACAGCAGCGTCTCACCTCCTGTCTCTTTCTCTGTCTCTTTCTCTGTCTCTGTCTCGCTCTCTGTCTCTGGACGTCTCCGAGAGAGAAGTCGACCTGGTGGACGCTGATAAGAGAAAAGACGCTGAAGTCAGTTTGTTTTTAAAGCTTTAAAAGTGACAAAGTGAAAATTTTAAAATCAAGAAAATTATCACTTTAAACCTCTGCTGAGTCCGTCACTACAAAGGTCTTATTCAAACCAAACAAAACTTAATTTATAACTCTAGGAAATGACTAAATGAGAGGACAGACATCTTGGTTTTTGGTATATTTTTATGTGATGGCACAGCTTTAAAGGGGGGGACTCGTCATTACAGAACATGTGATGTGTGACCTGTAAACATGTTTTTCTTCTTTAAAGCTGAATGAGTTGAAACTAAACGACAAACACGAGTACAGTGGTACATGTACGTTTACTCTTAAGTACAATTTTGAGGTACTTTCTGCTACTTTATACTTCTACACTAACACATTTTTTAACAGCCATAGTTACTGGTTATTTTTCAGATCATTATATTTAGACAGTTAATAAAATATGATGCATTGTTTTAATTAAACTGCAAACAGTAAAACAAAGCTACTGAAATGTAGTGTCACTTTATACTTAAAGCATCAGTAATAATCTGGAATACAACATGAGTGGCTAGTTTTTGCTTTTTTATTTGTACTTGTGATGGAGTATCATTACACTGTGGTGCAGTTAAAGATCTTAATACTTCCTCCACCACTGCAGTTACAAGTGGTTAAACAGTCGACAGTGCAGCTGGATTTTATTTCCCTGCAAAAAGGTCAAAATGCATATTTTCTATTTTAAAAATAGAAATAGGAAAAACTTTTCCAGGCCACAATTCAAATGGACTTTTTGACAAAGCTCTGTCGGACAAACAACCAACTTTCTTTGGCTCTTTTAGTTTAGACTCAGTGGTCAACACACAAACTCCTCACTCAATCCTAGAGTTTAGGAAAGACTGACACTTCCCAATAAGCTCTTGGTTATTGAGCATTCCTTACTTTGATTATTTATCCGCGATGTTGTACACTGTTTATTCTTCAGGATGCCACTGTAAAGGAGTCTGACTATCAACTGGGGTTTTAACTGGTTAAATATATATATAAACTGGTCAATATAGAAGTATCTCAGAAAGAGTTTTTTATTTTCTTATTTCATATTTGCTGACAAGCTTTATCTGCTCAGAAGCTCCTGAATCTGTCTGTACAGTGATCAGTTTTTCAGGATACGTGTTTGCTTGTTTAGACATCTTCCTCTTCCTGCAAAGACACAAAATCAATATAGAAAAAGCACAAAGAGAAAAAGTTCGAGGGTGAACACTCACTTCTCTTGATGGCAGCTCTGATGGACGAGAGGGGACCCTGGCTGCAGGGAAAGAAAAAAAGGAAAACATGAGTCACATTAGTTCATCTCTCTCTCTCTCTCTGTTTTCCAGTGATAAACATAGCTTGCTCGTCCCACCCAGTCCTTTCTCGGTGAGCTCCACTTTGCTTCACATTCAGACATTTGCTGCCTTGCTTTAAGGGCAATAACAACGGCTTAGATCTGAAATTAATTAGTGTAATGAAGGAGGTTTGAACTGCCCGAATTAGCCGACATGTCCAAAATGTCCTTGAGCAAGGCACTGAGGCTCCAGCTGCTCAGTTAGTGCAGAAATATTTTCACATTTGCCCTAAAATGCTTGAGTAGAGACTCAGGACTGATTTCGCAGCTTCCTGGAGGGGGAGGGGTTAAGACTACAGGTTTGTTTTCCACAGGTAAATCCCAAACATATCCACAGTGTGTTAGTATGTTAGTACACTTCCACCTCAGCTCAGCTCTTGATTACAAGGACGCATTTTTCTATTCAACTGTGCAAAAGTTTTCTTTAACCATTTGTGCGAAGATATTTCGGACTTTTTAAAGTTGTCATGGTCACATCATGTGAGCGGATTGCCTCTCTCATCTGCTGCAGACAAGTGTCGTCTAGACCCGAGATCGTTTCCCTGGACCCTGCCCAGATACAACATCTTGCTGGATTGCATGAACTCTCCCAATTGGCTTCAAACATGAAACAGCAATATTAGTTCTAAGAAAAAGCTCCAGTTAATGTTTTTAGTAGTGAGAAAGAGGACGGATCGTTAACTCTACTGCACATCCTTCTTTTCTTTTCCTCAGAAACACAGATTACTCAGGAAGTGTTTAAGTTCACGTCCTGGTAAAATGGTGAAACATCCTTTTATTTCCCAGTGGAGCGAGACTGATGGTTACAGACATCTGTCCAGAGTAGAGAACTGGCCGCCGGCCTCCTGAAAACCCCGACTCTGTTTCGTCCTGAGCGTCTTTTAATGCCTTAATGAGGAGGAGAAACACTTCAGTACAACTTCGATCAGTGTGTTTCCAAAAAAGAAATACTTAGTAGTTGGAGTTTTATGTGACAGGCCTCTTTAACTAAACCGTTTCTTCCCTTTGTGGTTTCTGAAATGTTGTTTTTCACCCCAAACAACCTTCTGCACATTCAGCACATTTTTATAAACATCCCAAGAGAGAGAAAAAGTCCTGTTATTCCCCGATTGAAAGTGTTTATCAGATCAAACTGTCAAAATGATTCAAAGATCATTCAGGATCAAGAGGAGAGCCAGAAACTGAGTCCAAATTCTTCCCGTTTAAAAACGGAAAAAGTAGTTGTTGCTAGGCAGAGTAGGAAACAGATCCAGACTCACCCAGATGACAGAAGGAGGTCAGACGTCGTTCTGCGTCTAATTCTCTCTGTCTTTTTAATAAATAATAAACTGAAATAAACTGTTTTCTTGTCTTTCCCTGTGTCTTTGTCTCCGTCTCTCTGCCACAGAGCTGCTAACCATGAACAGACACACATGACTCACCCCTGACACTGCCCACACACACACACACACACACACACACACACACACACACACACAGCTTTATTTTAAACAGTGATGGAAAACACTCCTCTTATCCTCCTCTTTCCATTCCTCCCTAATCACTGAAAAAAAAGGAGTGTGACAAAACAAAAACATTTAGAGAAACTTAATTAAACAATCATATAGAAAACAAATTATCATTTTGTTTAGACAAGCAGGTGTTAATTTAAATCCGCTTCATGAACACTGTCCCTCTTTGCTAATGCAGCTTTTCTGTGTTTGGCAAAAAATGTTGTCATGGCTTTTCCATTTGCCCCATTACATCATTTTGGGGTGTGTGCGACTGACGGTCCAGCAGTTCAGGCAGCAGCTACAAAAACAGCAGTTAAATAAAAAACTGCCATCACAGAGAGGAGGCAGGATGTAATGCAATACATACTTGGTTGTACTTGTAAAAAATGACAGACAGTTTTTGACCACTCATGAAAAGGTCTCATCCAGTGTAAAGGTCTGTGTCCATGTGTAGTGTGATTATAGATCAGCTCTAGCTTCTATATTAATACTGTGAAAGTATCAAAGCCTCAGTCCACAGAGAAATGCACACAGCCTGTATTCAGAAACTGAGCCTTAAAACCAGCCGTCAGGACTTCTGGAACTTTGTGATGTCACAACAAAGCAGTCACCAAGCCCCGCCCACCTGGACCCACCATCCAAACCTTTGCAGGATTTGGTTTCTCTGAGTGTTTTTAACCTGAAATCTGCTATATTTTTATTGGATCACTCAGAAAACAGTCAGCCAATCAGAGGAGAGGCTCAGAGCCTCCTCTCTACTGATCAGTTCTCAACATGTGTTTTGCTTAGAGCTGAAAGTAATTACCAGTCCGAGGTCAATCCTCCAACACAGAAAACACCTTGAGAGCCCTGATGTGGAAAAAGGGAAAACCCCCCGCCCAAAAAATGTGATCAGTCTGGTGTTTCGTCACACATTAGGGGCTTTCAAACATTTCACAACCTTCTCACAATCCATTTTATTTCTGTACTTACTCTAGTTTAAGTGAAATAAAGTCAAACTCAGGCTCTGTTTCCCCAATAAACAGACACACACAGTCTTTAAACCCTGTGACTTCTCCCGGCTAGTTGCCATGCCAACCGGCCAACAGCCAAAATACTTTCAGGAGTGTGTCAGACCAAGAAACCAAAGGGAGGAAAAGTAGTCCTTGCAAGTCTGTGAGGAAACTGAAGAAAATAGACCCAATGGGCACATGTGTGACTTTATGAAAACGTCTGTAGAAGCAGTTTTTGTTTAAAGAAGGAAAGATTTACTGATCTGTTCAAGAGCAAAACGTCTTTCATGACAGGTTGAGATCAAAGAGATCAAACCCTTCACCTGGATTCAACATCAAACAAACCTTTTCGGCCAAAAAAAACCTTGCTACATATGGGTCACATTAAAAAGGATCACTTCCTGGTAACAGTTACTCATCTTGTCCGAACTGGAGAGACAAAGAGGAAGAGGAAAAAGAAAAATATCTCACCTGTGACGATGCTCTGGCTTTCGTCTGTCAGGACGACCTGCAGAGAAAGAGAGCGTGAATGAGGATCGTGAAATGTGAAGGTAGCGTCAAGCATCAAAACTGCTTGGTGTGAATCTTAGACTTGTTTACTTGCTCTAAGATCACGTGTTTCCTGATCTGAACCAGATAACTTTTCACTCTTAGACCGTTTTGTAGGAAAAGTTCTTTATTTGTTAATTCAAACCACAAAGAGGTGGTGACGATCAAAATCTGCAGTAAACTACAACCAGAGGGTCTTGATGAGGAACTGTCTCTTAAGCTTGGGACGAAGCTACAAAGACTTGAGTCGGGAAGGAACATAAAACCTGACGACTGAGAAAAAACACAAGACATCACACTGAACCACTTNCAACCCACCAATCTGTGCCAGTTGTTTCCACCAACTGGTACAGATCTTTTCAGTCTTTGACAGTCGGGAAGGAACATAAAACCTTACGACTGAGAAAAAACACAAGACATCACACTGAACCACTTGAGATAGACGCCCCAACAAATCCCACAACGACAAAGAAGAGTTGCGTCTTCTTGTACGTCACTTGCAGAAGTCGCAAATATCAAACAGGTTTAAAAACTCTTTATAAGAACAACTGGCAAAGACTGTGTCTGAAGACTAAAGATTAGGATCTTTACATATCACACACTTTATGATTCTGTCTGCAGAATGACAACAGCAAATCACTTTCATAACCGCCTCAACAGACGTAATCGTGGCTGCCGACTGTTCGTGTGACGGCTTAATGTCCATCTCATGATTAATACTAATAATATTTTGTTTTTCTTTGCATAATTATGTCTGTATCTCACCCGCCTCTGCTGACTGGGCATTGATATTTAAGTCTCTTGAATGACATGGTCTGTACGTTGTGCAGATGGCGGACCTTTGATCGATATGTTCACTTTTTCTAATGTTGTAAATTTATTCTTTTCTTGTTTTTTTCTTAGTGTGTCGGCAGTTTTTCTATTAAATTGGATAATTAGTGTTGGAGTGTTAATTTGGCATATTTTGTTAAATGAAAAAAAAGGGTTAAAACGTATTGAAAAAGTCTTGTTTTAGTACAGACTCTCCGGTCGTACTAGCACGAGTTATCACAGATTTCCGAACGACATCCAACCTGGTGATTAAGCATCAAAAGAGATAAATATCTTTTTTAAATAAAATCAGTTTCATAAATGTCAAAAAACACTGTCAATATGATTCATGTTAAAAATCTTGTGTTAAAATGAAAAACACGTGAAACCTCGTTAGCTTTTAGCTGTTAAATTGTCGCGATGCGGATCAAAAACAGAAATCCATAAAGTCTGAAGTCTTCCACACAGGAAGTGATGCATTTTATGTTTTCAGTCTGTTTAGAAAAGACAGAAGAAGAGGAGGAAGAAGAAGAAGAAGAAGAAGAAGAAGTGGTGATCATGGTTGAACACACAAAGAAAACAGCACCATCAACAGAAACAACATCAAAGTCAAATCTACGACTGAAGACGTCTCAATCCCCTGCCCACACTCGTTTGACGGTCAGGTGATCACCACATTGACAACAAAAGGGAAGGGGGAAAAGTAAAAAACACCTCAAGCTCCTGTCATCACCTTCTCAAGGTGAACAAAGAAAGCAGAAATAAAAGAGGAAAAGGAAAAGAAAGAGGACTGGACTTTTTCTGTCTGTGTGTGCATTTTCCCATTTCCTACCTCCTTTCCTCTCCTTCTCTTCACACCTCAAACTGATCACCAGGTCCGCTTGGCGTCCCTGTGGCGTCCAGAGAGACTGACCGATGACGTGTTTGGAAAATACTCTGCCAGCACTTCCGTCTTTCTTTTTCTTTCGCTTCTTTTCTTCCTTTTCTGCTATTCCAAAAGTCAAACTTTCTCTTTTCTCTGCTCTGTCCACTTCTTCTCTACTCTCTCCTTCTCTAAAACTCCAACTGGACTGCCCGTCTGAGCTGGCCCGCTCTCCGATTGGCCGAGAGCAGGCATCGAGTGAGGCTGTGATTGGCTGCTGTGGGATTCTGCTGGAGTCATCAGGAGTTTTAATACTTCCAGATGTTTGTCCTGCAGCGGGGCTGGCTCAGCTCTGAGCTGGAGCTGCGTTCAAACATGCAAATGCACACCACAGCAAATTTTCCTCAGAGTTCGTCATCTGTCGGGTTTCTCCTTTGGCACGATGAGGTCAGAGGTCACAGGTCGGAGATTGGAGCTAAAGGGATTACTTCAGGAGGGTGGACCATCATGACAGCAGACTACACTTCCTTAAAGCTGCTTTAATCTTTATTTTGATATTAATAACAACTATAGATACATAAAAGGATTCACATGTAGTGAAAAGTTATCCCCTGACTCATCTATGTGGAGCATTTTAGCACCTTTTAACTTGTTGTTTTGGTTTCACAGCCCACAACTTTACTGTTTTGATTCACTCTCATTGACAATATTTCAAGATACAGGCACTTTTTTTCCAAATTAAAAGCCCAGATAAACCCACTGTACACTTCCTGTCTAGCACCACAGAGTAGACGGACAAAGTTAGCAACCAGCTGGGGAACACAGTGGAGCAGATAGCAGCTAAAGAGCCAGATGTTTCCCACAGGAGTTGGTGGAGACCAAAACAAAAGTAAAAAGAAGAGTGAATATTGGACTTGCATTCGAAACACGACTATGGCAGCAACTAACGACCATCTTGACTACAGATTAATCTACTGATTATTATCTTAACAAATCCCTTGGATTAAAAAAATGGTGAAAAATGTCCACCAGCGTTTTCAAATGTCTTGTTTGGTCCGACCAAAAGATAAAAGAAACAGATATTGAGGTTATTATTATAGAAAACTAAGACAATACACACAATGAAGCATGTTGCCAATTAATTAACGCACGCATTAAATAACGCACGACAAAGAAAACAGTAAATCCTTACAGCTGACGAGCTGGAAATCCAGAATGATTTAAACAAATCATGGATTATCAGAGTTCACGCCAGTCGATCACCTAATTGATTAATCGACCAAGTTCTTCAGCTTTGAACATGACTTCAAACGAGTGATAATGTTGCTCCTAATCTGATGGATGTGTAAATTCATCACATCAACCTAAAAAGCGGATGATATTCTTAAAGCTTTTTACAACTTTTTAAAGAAACGTTTTACTATATAAAACAAAGGTTTCATCAAACAGTTTTGATAATTTCACATGACAGATTTCTGTATTTGTGTGGGTGGGTAGAAAGTAATGGGACATATATTCCACGCACCAATCCGGACTGAACATTTGAATCAAATAAAATGAGAGTTTTGGGTTTGTTTGCTTGTGTTACATTTTTTTCCAAACTGAAACTCTGATTGTTACTAGTCATGGATATTAAATAATACAGGGAAATGTTTAAGATTTGAACCCACCACACAAACTAACTGACAGACTGTCTGGTGGGAAACCTTTCCCCACACTGAACAAACAATGGGACACTCACATGTGACATTTATCACCTGTGACATTAACAGTCGAGCCCGTGAGGAAATAAGTGCGTCACTTTGTTTCGGGGATGTGTCACAGCTTTTTCAGGTATTCTGGAAACATTTGATTTCCTCATTAAATTAGTTGATGATTATCACCTAAAACTTTGTCAGAAACTCGACTAGTTTCAGCATCTTTCCTTTTTTTTTTGTTTTACATTAAAATATCTTCAGCCTTGTTCACTTTTGTTTTTATTTCTAACAGAACATTTTTAAAAGGAAATGTAATTTGATTCGGGACAGTGACTTGCAATGTTTTGATTAATCTGCATTTCCCGAAGCTAAGGAGAGGTTTAAGAAAAATCTTTTGGAAATAACTATCTTCAGATTCCGCAAAAATTGATCACAGATTGTTTTTGAATCCACACAAAGACCAGAACCACAGTCGCTTTCCAGTCTATGAGCTAATGTTGAGCTGAATTCATCAGCAATCTGGTTTGTATCCAAATATTTTCTATGATTTCCAATCAGATTTCCTCCATGTTGCAAAATATTTGCAGCTTTTTGGAGTCAAATTTTTTTTTCTTAGGTTTAAAAACATAAAAGCAAAGATTTGAAACATATTTGGTGGAAACTCAGTGACCTCTGCTTGTCAAAGTCACATGCTGGAGTTTCATTGCACAACACCAGCTGACTTAAACCCTGAGCAACACATGCTCCCAGATCAGTGTGTTTCTACCATGTTATGATCATTAGCTGAAGAATTAATGGTGATGACCAGGTGGATTTCTTTGTTGTTATTATAGGACAGAGGTAAATATGGGCGGCTGTAGCTGAAACCAACAGTTTGGATGTTGTTGGAGGTGATTAACAATGAGGAGGCCAATTTAATTGTTTTTTTTCCCTTTAAGAAAGAACTTTATTTTTTGTGATATTTTCAAAGTGTGCTTAAAAATACAATCTGGAAATCTCCATTTTCTTTTTTGCTCAGCTCTCGTTGTTTTTTTCTGTAACACACTTCCCTGTCAGATCAACTGTCACCTGATATCACCTGTTAGTGCAAGTTTAACTTCCTATTTCTTCTTCATGTGTTTAATTCCAAACAAATTGGCATCAGCAAGTCAGAGGTATAATAGATTTTCTCTTTACACTGATTCACAAATGAAGTAGAGCTGAAAAAATGCACAATCAAAGCTGGAATGACACCAACTGTGTTCAAGAAATAAAGCATTTTTGCAAACATCTTAGTGGTTGTCTCTTCATCTAAAGCTACAGCAGAGAAAAGTCAGTCAGAGTGGGAGATATGGATAAAATCCTCTGTTAAGATACATGCAATTTTGTTTTGCAATATAAATATACATCACGATTCAGCAGATTTACACAAAATAATAACTAAAAATTAATATCCAATTCTCTAACTGCAGACCAAGTGCTTCAAACATATGTCGTCATTTTCCAGATATATACCGAGGACGTCATCTGAAAGGCTTCTGTTGGATTACACACACACACACACACACACACACACACCTACAAAGAATAGCCTTGAAAAGTCAAGGCATGTTAAATTATAACTTGTGTTTCCCTGAATGAGACGGAGAGAGAGAGAGAGAGAGAGAGAAGAAGACAAAAAGGGAGGACTTGTACATTAAATTAATGGCTGTAAGTCTTGGCACAGGCCTGCACCATTACATCGAACTGGGAATGTTTCTGCAAGTGTGTGTGTGTGTGTGTGAACTTTGACCCAAATGATGACTTGTATGCAAGTTGATACAAGAATTTATGGCTTTGGGTTTGAGCAGGTTACACCCACAGTCAGTGAAGTAGTGAATAAAGAAAGTTTCCCCCTTCAGCTGAGCTGTCTGTCATTATCGACTAATTGGTCAAATATTCTCTTGATTTATTGGTAAAGGATCAATCATTTGGTCCATAAAATATCCAAAAAAACCAAAACTCGACACATTCTTACTCCTCTTCTGTATATGACAGTAAACTGAACACATTTCAACTTTGGATTTTTATAAATTCAACAATATTTAACTCCTTTTACATATTTCTTTTGGTACAAACTTCTACATGGTGCAGACTACTTTGTGGCTTTTTACCAACGTTTTATTCTGCACTTTAAACCAGTAAGTTGCTGGTATTTTAAGCCTGTAGTGTACAGTATATACATTGGAACAGTTTTTATCAGTCCTATGAGAGATTTAACAGCGATACTACAAATATGACAGAAATGAAAGGTGTATTGAGGATCCAACAGAACCATAAACTGACCATAATTTCCACAGAAATACTAAAATCACACATAAACTACACAAAAATCAAATTACAGGAGTATTTTGAGCTTTAACGTTAGAAACGTTTGGACGATCTTTCTGTTATCTGAGCATCTATAGTTTCAGGTTAAGGTTGTATTTCCGCGATAAGCTTCCCAACTGACTTGTGACAACTTATTTTTCCAATATATATCGATAAATATAATCGATATCAGGTGGAATCGGTTTAAAACAGGCGGGGTATATGAGTGTTTTTTCGCTGTTGTACCTCCGGAGCTGTTCGGCTGTCGTCGGACCACTTGTTCCCGGGTGTCCCTCATCATGTTTTCCTCCTCTTCTTCGGACCGTGCCTCGGCCATGTCTGCTTTCTTTCTCACTTTCTCTCCTTCTTTATCCTTTCCGTCTCTCTGGGGAAAATGGAGCCGGGTCAAAACAGAGACAGCGACATTATTCCTCCTCCTGTTTCGTCGTCGCCAACATCCACCACCACCACCACCACCTCCGCCACAACAACTCGGGACAAGTTCACCCAAACACCGTCAACTTTAAAGCCCGAAACGTCTCCCGGGATCGGGTCGACACTCCGGCTCGGTGCTCGGCAGCTCCGGAGCCGCGAAACGGTTTAAAATCTGTTGTTATCTTAAAACAATACTTGTCGTTGTGTTGGGTTTCGGTTGAAGAGTTTCTCTCTGTCTCTCCCCCCCCCCTCACCTCCTCCTCCTCCTCCTCCTCCTCTCCCTGGACGCGAGCTCACGATACAGAGCCGCACGCTCTCCAGCCGCGTGACGTCACGAAGATGAGGGGGGAAAAAAATGGAGGACAAAACAATTAGCGAACAAAAGTGTTTCCGCCAGAGAGGGAGAAGATAATAGGTAGTTGGCGCGCTTATCTTAAACTCTGTGACGTTGTTTACAATTCTCGTCAATCAAACGACGACAAAGAGACATAAACTTGTCTTTGGGGACACAAAACGACCACAAAATATGCAAAATGACCCCGAACAGACGCAAAGTGATCACAAAGAGATGCAAACGACCAGTAAAAGACAAAAACCGACGACACAAACTGCTCCTAAAAGACACAAAACAACCACAAAAGATACATTGAAATGACCACGAGGAGATGTGAATGACCAAAGGGGGACAAAATAATGACGTCAAAGACACAGAAACTGATCCTAAGGGACACAAACGACCACAAAGAGATGCAAAACGACCACTAAGATGCAAAACGACTCCAAAGAGATGTAAACAATCAAACAACCAACAGATGCAAAATGGCCACATAACGACTTCTAGACACAAAATATGAGACACAAAACGACTACAAAGATACTTAAAACAAACACATTCATAAACCAGTGGACAAGGATCACCAAAAATCAACAATGTATGGACCAAATTTTATGGCAACCTAGTTGTGAATACATTTCACAAAGAAAGTAAAAGTTTGGGGATCACCAAACTTAGGAGGAATTCAATGAGTATGAATATCTGTACTAAATGAGATAAACTGACATTGCTATCCATAGTCCATACAGTGTGGCTAAACATGCAAAATACATAGGCCCACACTATAACATGCAAATTAAGACAAAGGGAAGTTTATTTGTATGCGTTAAAAAATGAGATAAAAAATAGAATAAAGCAGCTGAAATTATGACATGACAGACACGTCAGTAAGAGAGCGAGACAATAACAAAGACATAGAGAGGGAGTGACTCAGAATAACTGTTGAAAACATTACAAGGTGGAACAGGTAGGAATGTAAACAGTTATCAACAGGTCTAGACCAGCAGCCACGGTTGGCACTGAGGATAATGTGTTTTCATTATTATTTACATTTTCATACATAGACTTTCAATGAAAAAGGCACAAAACTTTTATTTCTTTTTGATATTTTTTGGCTGTATTTGTGTATAAATACTGAAACAATACTTGTACATTGAATTGTTCTATAATAAGATTTTTTGGTGATTATCGCTAAAGATTTGTAGATTTTTTTTTTAAAGGTGTCTGTGGCATTATTCTTGTATTTTGGAGTCCTGACAACTTTATACATTATTGAATTGACAAAACAATAAGTCAGACTTATATATATATATAATTTAGACACAGATTGGATGTACTTATTATAGCTGAGTTTGTTAGCAGGTGAGGACAATTTAAAAAGGTGCTAAACACAGACAAAAATGAACCTAGACTCCAGAGGGTACAAGTTTAAGGCACTTAATTCTTTGGCAGATGAAAGAAACTCTGCACAAAGAAGATCAAAATAATCAAAGGGAAGTACCAACAATCGAGCACATTTTTGAACAGTGGGGGACTTAAATGATTCACCAGTCAGTTGTAGTTGCAGTGTTTTGCCACTGGAGGGCGGCACTTACACCTCTATCAAACAGAAGCAGGTGAATGTAGAAGAGAAACAAAATACCACCACTGACCTCTAGAGGAACAGGTCTGATGTTGTGATTGGACCGAATCTAATTTCAGTCTTCACTCAATCTGTAAATCTTGACAGAACTTTAAAAACATTTGTGTCCACAATTAAAAATGTCTAGTTAATTGGGTGCTTCATATTCAAATGTTATCTTGGTTATTATGGCTCCATTGTTGATTATCTAAAGATTATTTTCTCGATTAATTGATTACTTGTTTGGTCTTTTAAAACTCTTCAAATGGCTTTTCCCCCCATATAAACAGTTTAAAAACCCCAAATATTTACTGTACTTTCAAATAAGACACAGATGTGATGCTGAAACAAATACATATTTGACATTTTTGCAAGAAAAAAAATACATAAACTATTAATATATCATCAGAATAGCAGGCAATTCACTTTTAGTCAAGCTTTATCATAATTACATTAAACATCAAATGAGGTCACTTTCTAAAACAGATGATGAGGATGAGGATGGTTGGCTGTGATTCAGATGACCTGTGTGTATTGTTCAAACAGCAGATTATCGGCTCCTGCTGTCCTCTACCACCAACCGTTAACCTGCGTTTCCACGGTGATTAACGGAGCCTCGTTAACGGCATCACACAGCAGGGGGGCACAGTGTGTGTAGGGTTTTATTTATGAGGTTGTGGGTCGAAAATGTGTTTACATTGTCACAATAGATAGATATAATTTGTTATTTCACTGTATTTTGTTCTTACCCTTGTCTTTGTGTCTATTTCATTTACCTGCTGTAATATTTATTTCTCTTTGCTGTTAATAAAGTTTTCTTTCTTTCTTTCTCTTGTGTGGTGTTCTCTTACATGGCAAAAAAAAACTGTATTGTGAGAAAACACCACAGTACAATATATGTACAAATACGGATACAGTATGAAGTTATAGTATCTCAATGCTCTCTTGGGGGCGTGGCTTACCGTAGGCGGGGCTACGGGGTTACCTAGCAGCCAGCCGCAGTGATTGACAGCTGAGCGGCTTAGAGCCTCAGAAACGCAGCCGCGGTGAGAAACGGGTCTGTGGTCTGGACTCAAACAACAACCTCCGAGTCCTCACGAGCTTTACGACGAGAAACTTCGGGATTTATTTTAGTTTTTCAGTTTTGTGACAGAGTTTTGAGCCACTTTGATTTTGTTTTGGGAAGAAGGAGCAACAGTTAGAGACACTGATTGTCCTTTCTCTCTGAGCAGTCGAGGTAAGAACCGTGTGTCCGTTCACCACAGGTGCAGCTTGGTCTGTAAGGTAGAAATACTGAGAGGAAATGATGTCAAATAAGGTGATTAATGTGTCCTGTACTTAAATGGAGTTTTGTAGATGCAGAAAATATAAGTAAAGGACAATAAAGACTAACAATAATCAATAATCAGAAGCTTTGACAATGGAAAAGAACAGAATAAAGTGATGAAAAACAAGCAGGAAACACAAAATAAAGATGGTTCTGTTTAACTAAATCAATAGAAGAGGACAAAGTAGAATAGAGTGAAAAGAAAAATGTAGGAGGGAAATGCAACGTATGTAATGGAAAAAATAGAAACAACTATTTTCAGACTAATAGAAATCATCAAAACAGCAGAATAGAGTGAAATAGAATTATAGAGCGAGATTATACAGAGTAAGTACCTGTTTATTTGTGTCTACTGTATTCCACTGTAATCTGCTTTATTCTATTGACTTGGTATTTTCAGTATCAGGTGTGTGTGCGTTGTGCTGAGTAATGCTGGTGTGTGTGTGTGTGTGAGATGTAAGAAGGAATTAAGGTGTAGCATCCCTGTGCTCACACTCATAGTTGAGTTCAGTGACCCTCGCTGACCTGCACACACACACACACACACAGTGTGGTGGTGCATGCAAGTGTGTGTTCAGAGCTGGCTTTTTAAACAGCGGTGCATTCATGTGCAAACGCTGTCAGTGCTGAAAACTGTCACGAACCCAGGAGGAGGACACTGTGAATCCGTTCTCTTCTCTTGTGCTGTCAAATCACAGATGTCAGAGCGTCATTGAACGCATCGGCAAGAACAGTTTTCAAAAATAGTTCCTGCCACAAAAACAAAGTTTTAAGGAAATTTTCAGCTCCTCAAATGTGAATATTTTCTTTTTTTTTCAGTTTTCTAATAGAATAAACTTCTTGTTTTGTTGGACAAGAAAAATTATTGAGTAAAAATTGAAATTAATATGTGTGCATGTGTCTTTTAACCATAAAACTAATATATATCTGACCGAAATTAAGAACTTTAAGTCGCCTAAACCTGTTGAAAGAAAAAAGTAGGGATGCACTGATGTAATATGCTGGATAATAAGGTCATGACCTTATTGTTCAGGGTGTATCTATATTGAATTCAGATTCTTTGTCAATGACACCGTTTCCTCTTCCAGTTACATTCACATCTTTAGTTCTTCAGCAAACACTTACCTCATGTTACTTTACATAAAAATGTACAGATGTGCAGATTTTTAATGTGAGAAAAAGACAGATATCATTTTCATATTAGTGGTTTTGGAAAATAGTGACAAATCTACTTTGTTTTATTTTTTATCTGCACAAACAGCAAAAACCTTCAGTTTCCAGTGAGAAACATGCAGCTGTGGTCAGAGAGAGCAAAGCAGAAATGTGTCTCGACTGCAACAACTGTGCAAACACTGACGACAGTTCAGTGTGTCTGTGTGTGTGTCTGTTGCTGACGTGCCCTTGAACAAGGTGTTTCATCATCATCATTTAATCTAAACCTCAATCAGCTAAACGCCAGAAAATGTGAAGAGAATTATAAAGCAGGTCAGAACACCTCCACTGTGTGTGTGTGTGTGTGTGTTTAATCCCTGGTTTGTGTGATGGCATGTGACTGTCTGACTTTAACAAGGACACACACACACACAGTCGTGGTGCTTTGGGATTAAACATCACTGTCTCATCTCAGATTACATCTCTCTTTTTTTGATCCAAACAGGAAATTGAACCGAAGTCCCCACACACACACACACACACACACACACACTTTACAAATCCATCCTTCACCATCTGGGCCTCTAATCTGTGTCTGTGTGT